GAATTTTTATTTAGAGATACTTATCAGATGCGTGAAATCCATCTCTTTGCAATAAGTCCTTATCATTATGCATTCCCATGTTCCTTGAACAGTCCCCATTGGCACCTGGTATCCCCTGGCCATTACTAATGGTGCCCCCTTTTGCTCCCAGGTGTCCTAGTGAGGATAAGTTGCAGAGCTATCCTACTGGTAAATGACCTTGTTTGAGTACCTGGAGTGTTTGTAAATTCACTGAAATAGTTTTTGCTATACCTTGTTGTTCTCAAAGCTCTTTATTGAACCATGATCTGTGTTTTTTGATTCAGAGTTAGATCTTTTAAACACAGAAATAGAAGACTTATCCTAACCTTAGGTAACAAAACTAGGGCAGGATTTCCACCACCATGTGTCATGAATGCGAAAGGGTCACAGAGGGATTAGGGATAATTTAGTGAAGTCATTAATCTGTAAAGTAAAATTTATAGCAGATATCCTATTCCAAACTCTATCTGTTGTGCTGATGGGCAATACTTGAGGTACCATAGGGCTAAAATGTAGCTGAAGGAATACTGCATTGGGAAGTCAGGAAATTCTAATCCTGACTGTACTCTGAACTCTGTATGTAAGCTGGTCATGTAACCTCTCAAACCTTAGTTGCTCCATTCATAAAGTGAAAAGCTTTCATGGGGGTTGTGAGCTCAAATGAGATAATAGATATGAATCTCTAATACAAAGGACTGTTATTTATTTCTAAAGGAAGTGGGAAATCTCATAGGGATTTATTCATTTCAAAGAAGAAATCTGAAAATAAATAGCCTTCCAGAATATCATAATTTTGCAAGAGGTAAACAGAAGTTAATACCACACAAACCTGTTAAATAATACATTGAACTACAATTCAAAGCAATATGGTAATAAGAACAAGGGAAAGACTGAGACATAGTTGAGGAAGTGATGATCAAGTTCATACACTCTGCTTTTAATAATTTGCCTCAGCTTTCTGATTGGAATGCTGGGGTGCACTCCTACCTCAGGGAACAGGAGGACAGGCATCTTCCCTGTGGTGATCCATGGTAGATCTCTTAGCCAGCTGGGGTCGGGTAGTTATCATCATGACCTAAGGTACTGTCTTAGGCAGAAGTAGTTTGGCAGAAAATTTGGTAGAAAATTCTAAACAACTCTATTCAAGAGATGATTTCATTTTCTGTGGGTGCAATTTGTGAATAGTTGACCCCAGCAGCCATTGAACACCAGACCTGCTTTAGAGAATGTTGTACTTTGATAGTAGAGCTGGACAGTGAGAAACTTCCATCCTCAAAATCTTCTGGTCAGGGTCAACTGTTTCATATTAGTGCCCAATACTGGAGCTCTAGATAAAAATATCTCGCTTCCAAACTGGTCTGAGACTACGTTTAGAAAGGTCTTGGCCTACCTTTGTGTGAACAGGGCATAGCTTCTGTTACTCAAATTTGTTAATAAATAGAAACCAAAGTTTTCTAGTTTTTGTATGTGTTCCTGTAAATCTCCTTTCAACTGCTGTGCTTTTTCATGTGTCAGGTGCCATAGAGACGCCAGCTGTACATCGTTTGCTCTGTGTCTTGAACACTGAGGTTCAAACAGACTTATGTTATGAGAAAATAATCACTGATGCCTGTAAACCCCTCCTACAACAGCTTGGACCTACTGAATGCCTCATATTAGGTGCTGGGAATAAGGATTGCCGAGATGTGGTCCTGCTATAGAGGAATTCCTATCTAGGTACAAATGGATCCCAGATAGCATCTTGAGCTTACTGTGTCCTGAAGGTCTGGATAAGATTGGCCTGGACCCTTATCCCACTTGCTGTGGAAAGTTCATTCCCCTTTGTGATCTTATTGTAAGTTTAGGGCACCGCTGGCTCTGACTTATTTGTATTTTGCCTACGTAGTTTCTTATCTTTTGGTCTCCTTTCTCTTCTTGACTTCACCCCTCCTGAAGTCATGATGACCTTAGCGATGGTGTGTGGTCATCAAAAGGAGAGGTTAGTAAGATTATCTATCACATAGCAATCTCTGCACGTTTGTGTTTCAGGGATCTTATTGGGCCCTTTCAGCAATGCTGCCACTTTTTGATGTCCCTGCAATCCGACCTCTACACTGGCTCAGTCCTCTTTCTACTTTGGCTTTAATCCCACTAGCTCACTACAAAATATATGTGGACTCTGACTTGTCTGAGCCACTACCGTCTCCCACCTAAATTTTGGCAATACTCTTGTATGTAACTGCTTCTCCAGGCTATTCTGAATGTAGCGTTCAGAATATAATCTTTTTAAACATAAAGCAGATCACATCACTGCTCAGAACTCTCTCAGGCTTTTTAGTTCACACCATAAGATCTCAGATCTTTCTGTGAAAGGCCTTTAAGCATAAAATTAGCACCCTGATTTTATTCCTACTGCTTTCACCTTAGCCCACTGGTTTTTGTTTTTTATTTTAATCCCATACATTTTGGAATTATCATGAAGAATTGAACCTGGAATTACAGAATGAGAGAATACACTCATAAATATGTCCTGCCTCAGGGCCTCAGTAATCCAGGCAGAGTAGGGAAATACAGTTCTTCCAGATATCCCATTCCCTCCAGGCCTCTATTCTAAAGCCATTTTTTTTTTTTTTTCAGTTTGGCATTCCCTGACCTTTTACTTTTCATCTCAATATTTATCACTATATGATGTCCCATAGATTGTACATTTTTATTCTCTACTGTCTGGATTGGTGTTTTGTAAATGGCAGCTTGCCTCAGAAGGGGATGAGGTGCTGGTCAAAGCACAGGCTGCTGTCCCTCACCACAGGCTCTGATGCCCTGGTCCAGGCTGGGGCTTGAGAACCTGCATTAATTACACATTTTGAGCATCCAGAAATGCACTGGTCCATGGGTCACATTTTGAGAACGAATGTAGTAGAACTACTCTGTCCAAAATGGTAGCCATTCACTACACGTGTCTTATAAATTGAATTTAAGTTAAATGAAATTTGAAATTCAATTTGTTAGTCCACCAGCTGTATGGTCACTTATTGGATTGCAAATATTAGAACATTTCCATAACTGCAGAAAGTTCTATTTGACACATTTCTGTAGAATATAAACTACATAAAGGTGGATTTCTTTTCTGCTTTTATTTTTCTCTTTCGCCTAGAGCACATCCTCATGCTTATAGATAAAGTCCACCTGGAGCTTACTTGGCTTAAAAAATAAGGTAGAAACCCAAATTTTAGATGACTAGTTAGTGTCTCCAGAAATCTCAAAAGACCGCTATCATGCAGTATTAAATTTGTATATGCATTTGTACCTATGGCAGAATTTTCTGGTATGTTGTATTTATCTAAGACTGGGAATATTTTCAGGACAGAATTGGCTTCTGGAATTATCAAAAAGAATTGAACCTGGAATTACAGAATGAGAGAATACACTCGTAAAGATATTCTGTGGTTTTCATTTGGCTTTCAAAGAGGCATTTTTATTTCAGCAGTGTTGTTTGACCTCAAGATCCCACAGGGCTAAACAACTGACCCTTCCCCACCTCTGCATGAAACTCCTTTTCTTGAAAACACTAAGTTGCAGAGACCACAAAATGGGAACTTCTCCTGGGGGAGTGGGGTGAGATGCTATGTGAAAACAGATGTACTAAGTTTTATACGGCACACTGAATGCTGAGATTTCTAACCTCATTTTCCTATCAAATTTCTGAACACCAGTAGCTAGGTTTTTATCTCTAGTTTTGCTGACATTTATGTTTTCCAGTGGTAGGGAATGGCTGGCACTCAGGTTACCCTGAAGTGAAGCACATGGACCCATACCTCCTTCCATAAAAACAGGACTTTTACACAGTGTTGTAGTGCCTTATTATTAAGTGTGAACTAACAGTTAAGGATTTCCAGGCATTTGAGGAAAACACATGATACAAAAGATTTTTTTTTTTTAGTTTGTTTTCCTTAGGGCTGACAATTAAGAAAGGCCCAGAGACCACATTGTTCTTTGGATGGTGTTAGTGAAAACACAAGTCTGTAACATCTGTTGAAAGGGAAGCCAAATATTGAGAAGTGTCCCTAGATCTCAAGTTGGGTATGAAAGTGCCTACAGAAATAGATCCTATATTACCATTAGTATTTCACACTCGGTCACTATTTCAAATGATTTCATGCATTTACTTGACTACTTTTTTATTGTCTAACACAGGCCCCATAAATTTTTTTCTGTCAAAGGCCAGATAGTAAAAATATTAGACATACTTCAATCTGCACAGTGTAACACGAAAGCAGGTTGAGTCATTATAGAAACAAACAGGCATGGCTATGTTCCAGTAAAACTTATTTATAAAAACAGACTGTGGGTGTAGTTGACCTGCACGTTGTAGTTGGCTGACACTTGGTCTACCTCATGTAGTTGAGTTAGATCTATGAGGACAGGTGCACCATAATATTTGTATTAGGATGCAAAGCCTAGGAAATGTTAAACAAATATTTTTGAATGATTTAAGAAATATGTACTCTTTAGGATTTTGCATGTTTCCTCGTAGATACTTACTATCTGTTTTGCAAAGCCAAAATGGTGGTGATTTCACATACTTCATTTTATGAGAACTTTGGAATATGGCCAATTCGTAAGCTAAAGATTGCCAGTATTCCAAATAAATTTCTAAAGAAGTGCTTAGTAAATTGACTAGTCTTAATTGACTTACTCTTAATGAGTACTCATCTCCTCCTGAAATTTATAATGCAAAAAAAATTGACAAAAGCATATAGGCAATTGCTAAAGCAACTTTAGGAACTAAGTTCTCTTAAATGCTACCTAGGAAAATATTATAATTTTATTTGATAAAACATAGTTAGAATTTTAAGCTGATTTTACAAATACTACAGTGTAGCATTACTTTATCTATTGAAGGCACCTGCCTGTGTGTGTGAAGAATTCTCAAAACAATAGCTAACAGTTACTGAGGTGGTTTTGTGGACCCTATGATCAGCATTTCTCTTGTTTTACAGCAAACCAATGATGGACTTGCTGATATTTCTCTGTGCCCAGTATCATTTAAATCCATCAAGCTACACCATCGATCTGCTGTCTGCTGAAAAGAATCACATTAAATTTAAGCCAAACACACCAATAGGAATGTTGGAGGTAGAGAAGGTAATTTTAAAGCCAAAAATTTTGGACAAGAAAAAACCTACACCAATAATACCCGAGGTAAGGATTGCATTTTTGATTTTGATGTTTCATGGCCAAGATATTAAGTTAATCTTTCAGTTATTAGCTCTTTCCAAAGGAGATAAAAATTGGGTTTTTAGTCAACTTGAAAATGGTTATTATGTTTTCTTGGGCCACAATGTTTAGAATCCAGTTGGTTATTGATCCTGTATCAACTAGAATTGGAGGAATACTTTAGAAATTGAATGTTATAAAGTGATTGATAGGCTGTATCAGAGCCTGAAAATTATGTACATGCTGGATTTTAAACTATGCTTTTAAAAATTCTTTGTTTAATGGAAGATTTAGAATCTTTTAATGAAAATTCACTTAAGAATTTATTATATTTTGGTTTCTCTATTTAGTAAGTGGCAGTTGTCATTTAATAATGTTATTTATGCTGCACAGTGACTCAGTTTTCCTTAATATATGAATTTTAACTAAGAAATTTAAACCATAACGATTCTAAAATAATTAGTTATTAGATTTTTTTTTTGTGTGTGTATGTGTATGTGTGTGTGTGTGAGAAAGAGAGAGAGATTGATTGATTGATTGATTGATTGCTGGGGATGGAACTCAAGAAGGCTTTTTGCATGCTAGACAAACTCTGTCCCTGAGCAGCATCCTCAGCCCTTAATCAGTTATTCTTTAAAAAATTATTCTGTTGGTATAAACAGTGGGGTAGAAGTTTATGGTTTTCATGAATAATCTTTTATTATGAATATTCACAACTTTTTACTTCATAAAATATAAAATTTTATATCTTAAGTGGATAGTTCATTCACATGTGATTTGAACACATGTATTGTCATATTTCTTCATATTATGAAGTTTTTACAAAGTCAACAGGGTTTTTTATAACAACATTTTCTTTTATATGTAATTAAATACTGAATATTAAAATATTACACAAAATTCTTTTTTTGTCTAGGTGTATGTTTACTGGATTTACTTGCTGTTTATTCATCTGTTAACCTGCTGTTTAAACTACTATGGAAGTAGTTTTATTTATGCTGTAGCATGCACATTATATAAAGGAGCCCTTCAATTATATGTGGTGTCTTTATGAATAAATGTCTTTGATATCTATGAACTAGATTATATTTAGTTGCTAAGTTCCTTTTACATAGGATTTAATTTAGTTACATCAAAGTTATGAGATAAAGATTTTCAATAATTTTGAATTATTAGCATAGATATAGATACAGGAATACTCTAATAATCTTTACTATATTAAAAATAACCAAAGTATAATAATAGTAACAACAAAAACTAATCACAAGAGAAAGTGTACTTTCATAATTTCCTCTGTGGCACACACTGTGCTAAACTCCTTATATGATTTTTCTAATTTATTATGCTTTGAATAGAGAGACACAAATATTCTAGTGGTTTTTCAAAAGATTCCTCTTTTAGTTGAGGCAACTAACTGACAAATGATTCAAAATATAAATATTCCTTAAATAAAGAATAGGATAAAACATGGGTGGTCTCTGTATTATTATGTATGTTGTTAATTTTAAAGTAAACAATGTAAAAACACTGGACATGAGGTTTTCTCTTCTTTGGTTTAAATCTGCTTAATTTATTATACAAGGGTTGTGGATTATTTAATGTGAATTACGTAATCATTTATTTCTTTTGCAGTACTGGGAACTGAATGCAGGGCTCTCTGCCATGGAGCTACATCCCCAGTTCTTTTTATTTTGAGGCAGGATCTCACCAAGTTGTCAAGGCTGGCCTTGAACTTGTGATCCTCTTGCCTCACCCACCTGAGTAACTGAGATTATAAGGGAGCACCACAAACCTGGCCAATTTAGATTGTTCGATATGCAAACTAATATTTGTTTCTTAGAATTTGCTTTAGATATAGGAAATAACACTAATGAAAAAGAGAATAAGAAAGAACTGTTTATAAATATTGTAAATAAACTCATTATTTTAGACATTATAGAAAGCTTATTTTAATAAATTATGGTGTAACTCTAGCTTTAATCCATGTTTCAGAAAACTGTGAGAGTAGTGATCAATTTCAAGAAAACACAGAAGGCCATAGTGAGAGTCAGTCCACATGCTCCCCTTCAGGAACTGGCTCCTGTCATATGTAGCAAGTGTGAGTTTGACCCACTGCACACACTGCTGATGAAAGACTACCAGTCCCAGGAGCCCCTCGACTTGACAAAATCTCTCAATGACCTGGGACTACGGGAGTTATATGCCATGGATATCAGCAGAGGTGAGTTAGGCCTTTCATTTTACTCATTGAACAAAATGTGCATACGTGTATGTGCTGTGTTTATGTACAGGTGTTCTCAGGTTCATAATGACGAGAGGGAAGTAAATTCATGTTGTTGGGAATAAGAAGAAAGCACTAAATAAAAACAAACACTTGGAAATAAAACAAATCAATTTAAATATAAAACAACTTGATTTCAGTTACTAAAATAGGAATAAAAATTTTGTAGCTATTATCCACATTTTTTTTTTCAAAATTCAACTTAATTCTTTGTGGTTTTAGATTTAAACGGAAAACAAAATTTACATGAGAACTCATTGTTTTAATCAAGTGTGAGTTACTGTAGAATTTGTATGAGGTTTTAATTATACAAGTTTGGAAATTTCTTGCCTATTTTTCCCCCCTAAGGTCAACATCCACAATAAACTGGCTTATAAAATGAATCAATTTAATTTCAAAATTTTTCCAAACATCTTGCAGTTTTAATCTATAGAAATAATGTTTTGTATTAAAAGTTTTGGAGATTTTAGATGATGCTGGTTTGTCTGGTATCTTACACACCCAGGCAAACGTATTTATCAAACATGAATATGTCTTACTAGGATAAAGAAAACTTTAGTGAAGCAAACAATTACATACTCTGCACAGAGACCTTCAAACATGCTGGTGTTTTAGCATTATGTAATTCAGAGACTACTTTCTCAACTCAGTAATGTTTTTTACTTGAATAATCAGCATCTTCACAGTCAATTTACCCTCTTTTGCCCCCTCCTGTAGCCACTTCTGTTACTGCCTTCAATAAGTCATCTCTACAAGGTAAGACACATAAATCAGTAGAAACTATAAATTATAACATGAAATTGGGTATGTTGAAAATAAACTTCTAATTTTTCCCGTTTTCTTAACATTACTAACATACATTCTGTAAGAGATTTTTAACTTGGACTTTGCTTTTATTTCCTAAAAAATAATTTATATGTTCCCTGTTTTGATCTCTGAATTTAATTATGATAATTTTATTTCAACAAATACTTAAAAAATTATATCATCCTAAAAGTAGGAGAAAACATAATTCTTACTCTTATATAAGAAAAAGTGACTTTGTTTGGAACTTTATTGAGTACTAGTGGTAGTACTTCAATGATATTATAGAAGGATCTCAGATTTTTTTCTGTTGAACAGCTATTCAGAAAAATAATGGTATATTCATAATAGGACTTTTTTGTAGTCATTAAAATCATTTGTGAACATTTTATAATAACATGGAAAGTGCTTATGCTAAAATTAGCTTTTAAGCATATAAATGTGTTTAATATAATATGAAAAAAACAAATGAAATTTCTGAAAGGAAATAGATAAAATTTTTTAATAGTGTTTACCTTTGGGTAGTTGGACTATGGTTGACTTTTCATAGTTCTTTATGCTATAGGATTTTATAATGAACATGTAATTTTCATAGAGAAAAAACTTTATTAAGAATTGTCTAATAATAAACTCTGGAAGTTGTTTTCCCCCATTAAAAAAGAATAGGCTCAGGTAATTGATTACTCTAATAATTACCAAACTACTTTTAAAAAACTTAATAGCTACACATTCTCTCTTATTGTATTATTAGAATCATTTTTGTTGACTATTTGCAAATTTCCTTTAAAGCACACCGATACTTTCAATTCCAAAAATTAAGCCCACAAGTAAATATTTATTATCAATAGCCATCATGAAGGCTAGCATAATCAAAGGAGATGAAAATTCTTATGATCTTAAATTATATGCTAAGAATTAGAAAGCAGGCATTTTAATTCTGACATACATTGGCTATCAGTCCTGTTCAGCAAGCTGATGGGAACAGCCTTATATATCTGGACTTATCTTCCACTTCTATAATAATTTAATAAAACAAAAATTGAAAAAAATGGTTTCTGTGTTCCTTCCAGAAACGGTACTTTTACTTGCACTTGGCTTCTGCTCCTAACTTTGCCACTCTGTATGTATTTAACCCTAAGCAAATTCCATAATCCTTTGTACCTCCTCGTTTTGAAAGTGTTGAATATATAGATTTCTACTATCCCTTCCAGCAATGGAAGTATGTGATTTTACAGATGACTGAATGCTCTGGATAAGATTAAGAAAGCTTCTTTTACAGTGTCTACAGGTCAATCCAAAGTGCTGTAAGTGTCCTCAGCTCTTAAGTTGTTTGGTATCATTGCAAACTACAGTATTTGAGTTGTTTTTTAAAATAGGCTAAAATTTTCACTTGTCTTAGTGTTTCACTTTGACTTGTAGTGATCCCTACTTATAACTTTAGGGAAGATGGGTTAACTAGTGCAGAGGATGACAAGATGTCTGGAAAAATCATCATTTGAAATACCCTCGAGATAAATAAATAAATATTCTCCCAGTATTGAGGATTGAACTCAAGGGTGCTCTTCACTGAGCTACATCCCCAGCCCTTGTTAGAATTGCTTTATTTTGAGGCATGGTCTCGATACATTGCCCAGGTTGGCCTTGAACTTGTGATCCTCCTGCCTCAGTCTCCTCCATAGTTAGGATTGCAGGCATGTGCCACCATGCTTGGCACTCTGGTTATATTTATTGTATTGTGCCACCATATGAATTTTCCACCTGTTCTTCTAACTAAACTTAATTGTGTGTGCATATATACTCATTTAGTAGGGGATTCTATCTTAAAATGAAATAGTGGCATAAAAAAGAAAAACCACAAGTATTACAAAATCTTTAAATAGATACTGGTTTCAGTTTTACCATGTAAAACCTGTGTATCTTTGTGCAAGTTATTCAAATCTCTGATCACCTGGCTCCTTAGATGTGAATTCGAGTGATAACATTGCTTATATTTCTTTATATCTATAGGGTAAATGCTGGCATTCCTCAAATAAGAAGGGCTCAGAATTGTAACTAATGATAACTCCCTCAAAAAGATGTTCTAAATATTTATTAAAATAAATGTTCAATAAATGAAATAAATCATGATAATGTAGGGAATATTTATTTATTTATTTATCTCGAGGGTATTTCAAATGATGATTTTTCCAGACATCTTGTCATCCTCTGCACTAGTTAACCCATCTTCCCTAAAGTTATAAGTAGGGATCACTACAAGTCAAAGTGAAACACTAAGACAAGTGAAAATTTTAGCCTATTTTAAAAAACAACTCAAATACTATAGTTTGCAATGATACCAAACAACTTAAGAGCTGAGGACACTTTAAACATAAAGTCCTATCCACCTGTTCATCATTATTAATTGTTACTATTGTTAGGCTTTTCATGCAGAATGCATGCTACTTAATTAATATTTGGATTATCAGATATGAGTTTTAATTTGTGGAATATAGTTTTTCTTTAATGTTATCGAGACATATTGCATTAATATTTATTGGTACTATCTTTGCCTTCCTAGAGAAGTCCCTACATTATCATGATTTATTTCATTTATTGAACATTTATTTTAAATATTTAAGAATGTATATTTACTATGCTCTGCTATATCAAATTTTGACACACAGTGCTTTGTTTTCAATGTCATTGATATTACATTGTGATTTGCTACAAAACCCTTGTTTTTTGTAAAATAATGCTTTTGAAATTTATTCCTGTCCTAATTTTTTTTTTTTATTTGCAATTCGTTTGTTGACAAAACCAGGTCATTTGTTTTATAGTTTCTTACTCAGAATTTTGGTGATGTATCCTTGTCACATGTTTCTTTGTCCCCTCTATTTCCTGAAATTTGACTATTAAATCTAGAGCCTTAATCAGGTTTTAGTGACATATCTCTGGCAAGAATATAGTAGCCAGGCATGGTGGCACTCGCCTGTAGTTCAACTACGCTGGAGGCTGAGGTACAAGGATTGGTTGAGCCCAGGAGTCAGCCTGTACTACATAGGGAGACCCTGCCTCCAAAAAATAGAGAAAAAAGAAAGAAAACTTTGTAGGTATTATTTTTGTGTTACCATTAACAGACAGTAACATGCTATCATCTTTTCTGATGTTAGCCAACAACAATTATTGTCTGCATCTTAAACAGTGATTGATAAAGGACAATAGTGTATATAAACATTACTTTTAACTGTTCAGATATTTCTACAAAACAAACTCTCTCATATCAGCAATTTGACTCCCTAGATCAAATTCAGTCAGAAAAGGTCATATGAAAGTGTGATAATTTCTTTCTCTTCACTGAATTTTTTTAAAATAATGGACTTTTTCTCTAGCATGAACATGATGAAGAGTTATTTTCTTAGTATCATTATGAAAGCACAGAATGAAACATATGTGATTTGTTTCAATTTATGGAATCATGACACCAAATTTGTTCTGATTTTTGCCATTAGAAACCATCCTGAGTCCCTCTAACATGAACTCCAATAGATTTTCAGTTTTCTTAATTGTTTCAAGATCATCTTGTGCATTTTTATTACTATTATTATTACCAATATATATTATATAAAGTAATGGGTTTTACTCTGACATTTCCATATACATGTATCATATTTTGATCATGTCTACCCTCCATTCTACTTTCTCTTGCTCTTTCCCCACCCCCCAGTATCCTTCCCCCTTCCCAATAATTCCTTTTCCACTTCAATTCATCACCTTCCCACTTTTTACCCTTTGGATAAATACTAAGGAATTGTCTATTTGGATTTTTTTTTTTTTGGTGGTGGGGGCGGGGGAGGGAACTAGGGATTGAAGCCAGGGGTGCTTAACTATTGAGCCACATCCCCTGTCTATTTATTTTTATTTTGAGACAGGGTCTCACAAAGTTGCTAGGGCCTTGCTTAGTTACTGAGGCTGGCCTTGAACTTTTGATGCTCCTACTTCAGCCTCCCAAACTGCTGGGATTACCGGTATGCACCACTATGCCCAGCTCTAGTAGGATTTTGTGATAAATCCATTTTTAGTTTTTTGAAGAATCTGTAAACCGTTTTCCATACAAGCTATACTAATTTACATTTTCATCAACAGTTTATACAGGTTCATATTTTTTCCACATTTCAACTAGCATTTGTTATTTTATTTTTTGTTTTTGTTTTTATTTGTTTATTTATATGATAAGAGCCATTCTGAATATGTTGACAGGAATCTCCATGTAGGTTTTTGTGATTTATTAAGGCTAAAGATATTATTTTTACATATATTTATTGTGTTTTACTTGTATTCTTTTGAGAAATGTCTGTTCAGATCATTGGTCCAATTACTGATTGGAATATTTGTTCTTTCTGAAGATTAATCCTCTGTCAGATGAATAGCTGGCAAAGATTTTCTCCCATTTCTATAGATTATCTCTTCAATCTCTTGGTGTGGTTTCCTTTACTGTGCAGCAGAGTTTTGATTTATGGTAATCCTATTTGTCAATTGTTGCTTTTGTTTCTTGAGATATCAGAGTACTATTCAGGAAATCATTGCCTGTTCCAGTATTTTGAAGTGTTTCCTGTATGTTTTCTTCCAGTAGTTTCAAAGTTTCATGTCTTACATTAAGATTTTGATCCATTTTGAGTTGATTTTTCTTCAGAGTGAGAGAAATCTAGTTTCAATCATTTGCATGTGGATATCCAGGTGTCTTAGTACCATTTGTTGAAAAGGCTTTTCTCCAGTGTATGATTTTTGGCACTTATATTGAGATCAGCTGACTGTAGATACATGGGTTTATTTCTGGATCCTCAATTCCTATCTATATCTATCTATCTATCTATCTATCTATCTATATTGTAATTGTACTGATAATTGTATTATATGTAAATGGGGAGATATATCTTATATATGTTCTCTTTTTAAAATATTTACTTTTTTAGTTG